GAAATAACAATAGAAAATGAGAGACTGAATTATATTAATATTTAATATGTAATGCAAGTAAAAGATGATTCATTAGTAATCATTCATAAAACTCCCATATTAAACATGCAGCTTTCATTCAACACCTTTTTTTATATCCAGAATTCAAATTTGAGGAAAAATTATTCGTGATCAATCTTGCAATATTCCCAGATCACAATTAAAAATCATACTGTAGAGGTTCTGTTTCATAATTATTGGCCCTTTGTTGTTAATGTATTTTCCAATAAAATATAGAGGTTTGCTGAAACCATAATATGACTTTTCCCTAAATATTTTTAATCTTTAATATTTTTATCTGTAATATTTTTATCTTTAATATTTCTCTCTCTCAAATTCCCAATCAACATTGCTTTAGTCCTTGAGATACTTTTATTAATTGAACCTCTCCCATTTTTCAGACAATATTATTGTTAGTAATAATAAGAATCCATGATTACAAGTTTACAATTAAAATAGCATGATACAATAGAAAATAAAGCAGGATTATTGAGAGAAATGTTCATACTATCAAATAAAGTGGAAAGAAGAAAGAGAGAGAAAGCCTGTTAGAATAATTTTTGAGCTCCTAGTCTGGTACTCACCACTGCAAATGATTATGATTAATGTTCATTAAATGAACCAAAAATGGATTACCATATTTTACTTTCAGAAGGCTTTCCGGCAGAATAGAAGTCCTTTTTCATCTTATTATTATGTGCTATTGTGGTGTATTATCATGTAATTCAACCACTCTTTCCTTTCTAAAGGAAAGGAATTTTTCCATTTGCTTTTAAGGACTTTTGCTGGGTTTTAAGGACTCTCAGTCTTACTGCATTTGATGGGACTTTGGTCAAGTGGCATAATGGAGAGAGAGTTTTATTGATGGATACATCTAAAAAATACTTCCTGCACAGAACACATTGCCAGGGGCTGCTATCCTTATTGAGTAATTAGGGCCATTTGTCTAGTAGTGAACTACTATTTATGCCAATTTTCATTCCTTTAAATGAGATTTTTTCCCCCTCAGCAATTTTAAGACCATCTATGTAGTAACCCACCAACATATACTATGATATGTATAATGTGCTCACTGGATTTGCATCTTTGGGTAGGTCAAGGTGTCCACAAGATACTCAAAAGTGAAATAGTGGTGGACGCCATTAAAGTTTTGTGCCAAACTAGTTCAGGATTGCTCTGTGAAGCTTAAAAGATCACAAATTGCACATGAAAAGATGTGTATTGTGGGAAAACTCCTCTTTTCCTTGAATTTATAATCTTCTCCAGAATGAGAATGAGAACTTAGACAATTAAAATTATGTGCCTGTTTTCAAAACGATTCAGAAAAGGCAGTGGGGCATGTGTCTAAATGGAAAGAGGGTGTCAGCTTTGGAAGCCATATTAGGGAGGAAGCTTCCATGCTGCCACCTTCTCATGTGTGGGAAAGTAGGAGGCGGGATTTAGTAGAGGGGTTTTCTGTAAACATAATAGCATTCTTCCTGTTGGTCAATGTCAGGGCGATCCTGCATCTGGAGAAGGAGTGGTCAGAGTGCTGTCTCGAGATGGGATAGATGGTGATTGGAGCATGTGATCGACTGAGGAGTGAGGGGATGGTTTTGGAGGTTTTGATTTACTGAGGGAAAACCCGGACCTCTCAGATTCGAGTTTTCCCAGATGTGCCAGTTTACCTATTCTAGTAAATAGAACTTTGAAAATGCTGGCTTCAGAGTCTTTACTTGGAGCTGGGGGGTTTTCTGGAACGCCGACAGAGGATGGATATACTTACATGGTGTAAGTTTTGCCCCTTTAATTTCTATGTAAGTTCTGCTCCTTTGCTTTGCAATGCTGAATCTGCTGTCTTGCTTATTTTGAACCCTCAGACAGGTACCATTTACTTGGATGTCTGCAGGCAGATGTTAAAAAAAAAGACATTAAAAAAAAACATGACTGCAAAACCTCCATCCCCCTTTTTATATGGGTTGCATGCCCAGTGCACATTTTGATTGCATTGTCATAGTCGCCATTTTGGCTTTTTTATTACCCCTGCAGATACGCTTTCCTCTTCTAAATCATTGTTAAACTGTGTCTGGTTCTAATATTTATATAACTTGAATGCAAACTGAACATACACATGTATATTTATAACAATATATTTTACCAGCCCAACTGACTTTAATATTTTTCTAAAAAAAAAAAATACTCTCCTTTTTATCTGATTGTTACTTAACTAATATTTATGCCTATGGAAACACTACAGTTGTAAAATCAACCATCTGCATTTCATTAAAGCTATTCCTGAACCATAACATTATTCTTAGGCTAGTCATCTATGCTAAACTACTCTCATCGATGTGCCTCAAGACTTGTATGTTTCTTCTTTTTTAAATGAACAAATCAAAACATAAATCAACATATGAGAACTAATTAAAAGTAACTATTTGCAGAAGCTATTATTAAACAAAGCTTAATAGGACACTAAATTCAATTACAATTTATTCAGCCCCATCTGGCATCCTTTATTAAATACTTCTTGATCTGTAGTTATAGCTGACAATTTAACATTTTAAAAACTGACATGCTAATTAAGGATTCAAGGAAAACTACACTCCAGTGACATAATAAAAAATAAAACTATTTTGATGGAGTGTTATAAAATTCATATTTGTTTATACAAAGCAAGGTTAGAGGAAAAGGTTTTATTTTCTTATTAATTTTGCTGCCTTTTGTTATTACTTGGAGATATCATGCTTGTTTTGCTGTTGGTTAAGACAGTGTTTCTCAAGCTTGGCAACTTGAAGATGTTGAAAGTATTCAAGGAGAGAAGCAACTAAGGAGAAATTTCCTGACAGTTAGAACAATTAATCGGTGGAACAACTTGCCTCCAGAAATTGTAAATGCTCCAACACTGAAAGTTTTTAAGAAGATATTGGATAACCATTTGTCTGAAGTGGGGTAGGGTTTCCTGCCTAAGCAGGGGGTTGGACTAGAAGACCTCCAAGATCCCTTCCAACTCTGTTTTCTGTTTTCTGAATGTGTGGACTTCAACTCCTAGAATTCCTCAGTCAGCTGTGGTGGCTGTGGAATTCTGGGAGTTGAAGTCCATATGTCTTCAATCTACCAAGCTTGAGAAATATTGGGCTAAAGCATTGTCCTACAATTATTTTCCATCATGTTGCAAAGAGCACTGTTCTGAAGCTGTGGAGATATGATGCTGTGTATGTGTCCAAAGTTTGTTGTGGGATAAATATTCACTGACTAGTTTTACTATTAATATTACTATTCCTTATTCTTTATTCCTTATTCATTGACTAGTTTTGACATGCAGATATTTTTTTAAGGCACAAGAGACATTGTGGTATCATCCAGATGTTTTGGATTAAACTCCTACTGCCACTGGGCCTACTAGCTGAGTATAATATGAGGGCATCAGCATATCTATTGCTTCTTTATATAACTGTGTGTCCAAACAGAATGTTGGGCCAGACTGGATTCATTCATAATGCATTGAACCCATGGAGAATAGAGCGTGAATTAGGCTGGCTGAAATGTTATTGTAGGTTGCACAATTCCTTATTCAGTTTTATATATTGGCTCTTACTGTCTTGGACTCAGTGAAAGTGTTAATCCCAAATGCATTTCTGTGCTATTTCTGTGCTACACACACACACACACACACAGACACACACACACACAGACACACACACACACACTGGAGTTAAAAGAGTAACAGTTGGGGACAGCCAAAGTTTAATATGATGTCTCAGGAAGTATCCACTGTGCTATATGATATCCAGGTCATATGAATGGCCGCATTTATTCTGTATGTTAAATATATTTGGGGTTATCTTGCAGTTGTGAATTGAATCCAAGTATTATACACACACTCAAGCAAACTCATGGCAAACAAGGTTCAGAGGAAAATTCATAGACTATGTTAGTGATGGTGAACTTATGACACACAAAGGCGCATGATGTTTTGGGTGATGCGCCAATGTTTACCAACACTTGGCAACAATTATTCTCAAAAGCACGCCCCGTTACCACACAGTGTTCAGAGGTTGCAGAGGCTGTGGAGGAGGCTCCTCTGAAGCAGCTTCAAGAACGGAGGCTTCATTCAACTGGGACCAGACTCAGGGAGGCTGCTGTGGCTGTCAGGAAAAAATGAAAACCGCCTGAAGATAATCATTGCACCGTAGATGCTGAGGAGTGCTGGGCCGGGCGGCAATTGCACCATTCCCCAAGGCTCTCACTCCTCGGGGAACAGTGCAAGGTGGCCATTTTGAGTGGCGGTGGTGGCACTAAGGCTGCAGTTAAGACCTGGGCCTCTGCTTCAAGCCCAGTCTCAGGGCCAGAGGTGGTATTCAGCAGGTTCTGATCAGTTCTGGAGAACCAGTAGCGTAAATTTTGAGTAGTTTGGAGAACTGGTAAATACCACTTCTGACTGGCCCCGCCCCCACCTATTCTCTGCCTCCCGAGTCCCAGCTGATGGGGGGAAATGGGGATTTTACAGTAACCTTCCCCTGGAGTGGGGTGGGAATGGAGATTTTACAGCATCCTTCCCCTGCCACGCCCACCAAGCCATGCCACGCCCACCAAGCCATGCCCACAGAACCGGTAGTCAAAAAATTTTGAATCTCACCACTGCTCAGGGCTGCTGCTGAGTGCTACTTTTTGGAGTCACCTAGATTGGAGGGAGAGCTAGAGGAATGTTTTTCATCATGTATGTGTCTGTACACAGGTGTGGGTGAATGAAAAGATACACCAGTAGAGTCAACTTTTCTGCTGAAAATTTTCTGAATTTTTGATACTCTTGAGGCCAGAAAGGTCACCCCCACTGTACTTTATTAGTTTTGTATTGGGGATCTTTCTCAAGACAGACTGCTCCTGAAATACCAGCCAACTTTGGCTCAACTGGGCCTAATTAGGTCTAGCTTCATCCGGCTGGTTACTCTTGAGTATTTATTTGTTGATTTGATTTGCAGCCGCCTGACTCCAGAGTGGATCTGATTGGCTCGCACTACACGAAACGGAAATGAATGAATGAATGAAAACAATATAATAAGAACACAGATACAACTGAAACCAAAATAAAAAGGAAGAAAAAGAACAGAACGGTGAATCCAGCAGACAATCCAAAATGCCCCACAGAATCTAGCAGGGCCTGCAATCGCCCTAATCCAATGCCTGGGAAAACAGCCGTCTTCCAGGCTTTCCAAAATGCCATCAGGGTGGGAGGGATTCGGATTCCATTTCAGTTGACATAACACAATATGTTAAGGATCTAGAAGACACGAGTAGATATACCCTGTATGACTTATCTCAACATTTATTTTTCTAAGATCAAAAACATACTTACACATTTTAAGGCTGGAATAAATATAGGAACATCTATATTTAAGCTGTAATTATTCTAACATTCTGAAGAAAGTGATGCGTAGTTGCTGATGCTTTCCTTCTGGTGAGAATTGGAAACAGTCAAGAACTAAAAATAGATAAGAGCGTTCAATGACAGTTAGATTTTATGTTCCCAAGTTATGTAGAATAAGGAGTAATGGTTTATTTTTAAAAGTTCCCTGTTAAAAAAATATCAGTTTAGCCACAAGAGGGAGCCAAGAACAGGTTGTCTAATGTGATTGGTTTAATTTAATAGAAGTTCAATTCCAGTTAACTCTTGTTTATTAGTTATTGTAGTAAAACTGGTTGTTGTGGTAAACGTTATTGCAATTTTGCATGCACTGAGAAGTTACTATATCTGGTAAATAAGAGAATATTTGTACAAGAAGACTTTCTTTTTGTATCTTGATGAGATCCAGGTTATAACTAACCTCAGTTGAACTAATCTAACCTCTTGATGTAATGCTAGAACATTCAAGAATTCTCCTGAATCCTGACATATGACCATCCAGGCTTTGGATAAGTGCCTCATTAATAAAAGTAGAATCGATTTTGTTTGTTGTTTGACTTTTGCATTATCAGATTTCCGTCTAATATCTCCTCAAATTTAACATCTGAACTTGTTGATTTGGCTCCTTGCTTCTTGAGGTTTGTCTGTTTATCTGGAAATATCCCACTGAATTCATTAAGCTTTATTTCTGGTTACACTTGCATTTTAAATCAAATTCAGTTATGAATTAAACTAGTGGTACTGATTAATGCTAGTTCAGCTTAGTTGCAAAAAATTGTGCACCTTATTTCTAGATTATTGTGTGTAACATTGTAGACCTGGTCCTTACAACAACAACAACTCGGTTGCTGGATAAGAATCTACCTAAACTCAACTCTGAAGCAGGGGATGGTGAAACTCCAACTTTAATTGTATGATACTAGGGGCTGAGGCATGAGCTTATATAAAATACATAGCCTTGTAAGGCTGATCAAAAATGAGAGGTCCAGAGTTATCTATGACAGAAAGTAGACTTGAATCCAACATCTTGACAACTAGAGTCACCTCTAGATGAGGTGGGTAGCATATAAATCTAAAAAAACAAACAAACAAATCTATACCACAATGGACTTGCAATTAAAATAGTGTGAACATTTATTTATACACACTAAATTTATGTATGTGTACACTAAATGTGTATGTATGCGTATGTGTATTAATTATATAAAACCCAACTTAGTTGGAGCAATTCAATCAATATATAATAATAACAGAAAGGTTAGCAGGGTTGGGACCATAGGAAGTCAAAGTAGGGGGGATGGTATGGTGTCCCATAGGACAAATACCGTGACAAATGAAGGCACACTTCCTAGATCTCATGATATTCCATTATTTAATGAAAATGACATCATAATTATTTTTCAGATATCTTGATTTATAGATTTTGATATCTTCCTTAATACATTAAAATCAAGAGGAATTTTGTTGTTGATTTCAACAAGAATAAAAATGTGCAGCCTGGATTTATGATATGCACTCAGATACTCCCAGTCCTTCCAATTTTAACTGATTTATATAGCATTAAAAATATAATAATCAGGCACATGCTTAACCTGATCCAAAACACCAGCTGCCTTAAGGGAAAATGTTAACACCTTCTCTTTCACCTACAGAAGCTAAAGCAACTGGCAATTAAATCTTACTTCAACATATACTCTATTACAGGGCTGTCAAACTCCCGGTCCGCGGGCCGGATGCGTCACGCGCTGGCCACCCCCACCCCCATTTTAGTGAAGGGGAAAAAAGTCCTGGTAAATCACATGACAATGTGAGTTTAACACCATGAATTTGACACCCCTGCTCTATTACATTTGAATGCCACAAAATAAGAATACAGGGAAGATTGAGCAAGTGGTCCAACAGAAGGAACCAAACAGCAGGTTTCCCCAACTCAGCCTCCATACTATTTGCTACTTAAGCCCTCCTAAGAACAGAAGCACATTGTTGCTCAGATAATGAAGTTGAGGCAAAGATGGTAGCTTTTCAAGTCAGGAGTGAATAAGACTTTTATTCAGGTAATGAATTCTGCTGCATGACTCTCCACCGAGGTGAACTCACCTTAGAATATATTTATACCATTGTCTCTTTTTCTTGCATGGAGACTCCAAGAAATGTTCAGAACTTCCCCCAGAGCTCTGAAACATGTAGAGGGCAGTTTTATTGAAAAAGAACACAAATACAGGAAAAATGTGGAAATAGGCATGTTGTTCTTGATATAAAGTGTAGCACTAGAAAACAATTTTTGGGGCTGCCTGAGAACAAGTGTTTGAGTATTTCAGGAGATATCTAGAAAGTAAGAATAGAATAGAATAGAATAGAATAGAATAGAATAGAATAGAATAGAATAGAATAGAATAGAATAGAATAGAATAGAATAGAATAACAGAGTTGGAAGGAACCTTGTAGGTCATCTAGTCCAACCCCCTGCTCAAGCAGGAGGCCTGAACCATTTCTGATAGATGGCTGTCCAGTCTCATATCAGACCAGAGTATCAGAGCAAAGGTATCTTCAGAATCAGGATGATTGAAATGAGCTTCGTGATGCATATTCCACTTTTTAGATAAATGCTAGGAAAAACTTAACTATGTTCTCAGACCACTGGGAGATCAGCTTGTATCCGGTTCCCTGGAAGGGTGGGAGGAAAAAGCCCTAGAGTTTAAACTCTAGAGCAGGGCTGACAAACTCCCGGCCCGCGGGCTGGATGTGTCACACGCTGGCCACACCCACACCCAGTTTAGCGAAGGGGAAAAAGTCCCGATATGTCACGTAATGCCGCTGTGACGACGTGAGTTTGACACCCTTGCTCTAGAGGATACTTATAGATATCTAAACAGGATTTAATTTTTCTGAACTGTAGCACACTATCAATGACTGGATGGGTTTCATTCTTACTTGCAGTAATGCATTTCTTAGTGCTTTTTGTTTGATTTTCAGTTTTATCCTTTAAATAATTTCACTGGAATTTGGCAGAGAATATTGCACAGTATTTTGAATTTGCTTTTCAGAAACTATGCTAAAACTTTCTAAGAGACCTATGTTTTGAAGCCCAAGAAACAAATTGGAAATGCCACATTCTCTTAATCAACTTTTGTGAGCACTTTAAAAATCATTTTTGCATCACGCCCAGCACCGTTTGTAATAAACCATATTACTAATCAATATATAGGGCTTTTAAATATCTGATTATGTGCCATCAAGTTGTTCACTCTTAGCAACTACGTTTTTTCTATGACAATCTGTCCCTAACTTGGTCCTTCAGATCTGCTAACCGTATTATGTAAGTACTATTATAAATATTATTTTTAAAACCATTTTGAATACAGAACAGTCAACATGAATTGTATTGAGAATATTTATTTGCTTTCAGTGCTATTTTCAATAAATACTGTATCATATTTATGTCTGAGGTAAAATAAATTAACTATCAAGAATCTAAACCTATAAATTTATGCAGCATTGTTTCATAACCATCAAACAGAAATATTACATTTCCTTCCATGTTACTTCAGTAGTAATAAAAACTTCTCTTTTGCTGAAAACTGGTTTTTGCTTGAAGAATGGTTATTGCGTGCTAGTTTTTCCAATATGCTTTTTGAAAATCACACTAGAGCTATTCTTAGGAACATCACATCAAAATTACAGGAAGAAATATGCCATAAGGATGCACTTTAGGCCAAGCAAGGTAAACACTGTATGAAAACAACAATGCTTACTACATTCTTATTATCTCTTTAATGTACGGTCTGGAATAGCAAAGTGCTGGCAGGTATGTTGCTTCATCTTTAACAGATACGCCGTTAAAACTGAGTTTTGATGGTGCACAAGTTTGTGGTTTTAGCTTTAAATGCTACACCTATGTTTAAAGCTCAGGAAGTCATAAAGTGGTGTGCTACATTAGACTTCACCACCTGACAGCTTAACACAGGCACGTGCTTAGCGGAAACTGCTTAATCAGAAGCTGACCTGTAGTACCTACGTTAAAGGAAAAAGGAAGAATAAAATCATATGGAGATAAAACCCAAATTTTTGCCACCGTGGTAGTCACCCATCATCAGTTGAGCTGGATTGTCTTTTCTTCCATTTTTGCTTGGAATGGGCTCATACTAAAGGCACCTGGGGGGGGGGGGAGTTAAAAAAAGAAAGTCAAAATGGCAGTTGCAAAAGCAGGAATGAAGTCTTGCCCTTGTATATGTGCGATGTCAATTTGTGTTCAAGAGGAGTGGGATTTCAATTGTGTTATGCAACCATCATTTTGATTTCTATTGACACCAATCCCTCCCCCCTTAAGATGTACCATTGGGTGTTGATTGTCTTGTGAAAGGTCCAAGTCAAAAACCAATACAGGTTATTTAGGAGGTCTTCTATTTAAAGCCCACTTTTGTTCTACCTGTGGTTGAGAGCTTCCCTGAATATCAGTAGCGCTTAGCTTTAGGTTGCTAATCTTTTCTTCCTCTTTGAGATACATCGTTTTGATTGGTAATAGGTCTTCCCTTGAGCACTTTTGAAGGCAATGCAGATCCCATTAGTACAAAAAGATGGCAAGAGAAGCAAAGAAATAGCTTTTTGAAGGATGCTAAACAGCTAGATGGGAAGATAACAATGGTAGATATTTGCAAAAAGCATTTCAAACAAGAATGGATGCATTTTCAAACATTTGATACATTTCAAATAGGTTGGGGCAGGATTGTATCACACTCCATTAAACTGGTAGCTCTTCTTGATATGGTGATCAGTTTGTAAATCTAGAAGTTACTGTCAACTCAACCTAGCAAATTTGAGTAGTTAATTTAATTATCTAATTCCAGGATGAACTTAATCTATATGGAACCATAGCAATTATAAATTAGAATCCCAGTTAATGTCAAAAATTGATTAGAATTTATACACAAAGCAATCTTATACTTCCTACTGGCTTTTCAGGGTAATACCTGAAATTAATAGACTTCTATTAAATTTCATACAGGAAGACTTTTTTTTTTTTTTAAAAAAAGGGAAATTATTCTAAAACAAACTCTTCATCAACCAATTCAAGTTATGTATCATAGCAAGCATGCCTAGAACTTGCACATTTAGCCACTTGAACTTCTACCATGGACAAAATTTCTCAAATGGAAGGATAATTAAATTAACTACTCAAATTTGCTAGTTTGAGTTGACAATAACTTCTAGATTTACAAACTGATCACCATATCAAGAAGAGCTGCTAGTTTAATGGAGTGTGGTACAATCCTGCCCCAACATATTTGAAATGTATCAAATGTTTGAAAATGCATCCATTCTTGTTTGAAATGCTTTTTACAAATATCTACCATTGCTATCCAAATGAACTTGGATGGAGCTCACTAGCCACAGTGGCAGTAACCTGGTTTGAACTTTTCAGCTAACCATACTCTTCTGGGATTCGAACCCAGAATATATATCTGAAGAAACTTCTGAGAGGTCAGTTCATTGATTGATTAATTTTCTTAGGAAAAATGGTTTGGTTTGTACTACATCATGCTTTTGCATGTGTGAGCCAACTTTTTTTCCTTAGCAGTATTCCAAGAAGCAACCATTGAAATAAATCATCACATGCTAAATGTGTCAAAAGTGTATATTTGGCTTGTGTTATGCTGTAGTGTAGGCAAGTCCTAAAAAAGATTTAAATATCCATCATCTAAAATTGTGTATCATTGCAAATTAACTGATTTGTAATATTTTAGCAGCACTATTTGAATACTCTCCACATCTGTAAAGCTTTATCATAGAAAGTTTTTAACCTGGTTTTACAAACCTCACTCAATTAACAAAAATATGCAGCAATAGGTTACCCTCTTCCCACACTCTGGAAAGAGAGTATCTGATTCAAAAACTGTCATTCACAATAAAATAGGCAATAAAAAAATAAACTCTTAATTTTCATCATCTCTTGGCACATAAAAACATAGTAATGATTAAGATCTTGGCCTTGATTTCTTCTTTATGCTAATGTCAGGGATGGGAGGGAGCCATGGATACCCGTGAAACACAATTTCATTATTTAAAAAATTATCCTTTAAAAAAAAACAACCTTAGAGACAAACCACAATTTTACGCCTGCTGTTTTTTTTTTTTTTAAATGGAAGAATAAATATCCTACACATTTACGTCTGTTGCTACTTTACATAGTGAACTGGAATTTCAAGGCTGTATGTGCTTTAAGAAACATGGTGTGACATGCGTTCAAGCACTTCAAATATTTTGGATAGTTGTAGTGACTTCTTGAAGCTACAGCTAATGTTTCTTGTGCTTTATTGCATGTGTTTCCAAGCATAGAATAATTTGATTGGTTTATTACTATTGTCATATTTTGCAAGCTATTGACAGTAGCCAAGACACTACCCTGAATAACCGATCTGGAGTATTGCAAACTCTGTGGTCTGTATTTTAGCACTCCATGCTCATGCAGTAGTTTGGGGGAGAATAAGGTTCATACTGCTGTAGGTGGAACATCAGGTTGAAGCTGTGATCAACAGCAGTTCTGGATTGTGCGTCAATATTCTGCAGAATTCACGATTGCCAAGGGTTCATCAAAAGTTGCCAGCATGATTTGTTTTGTGGAAGGCATAGAAATGATGTCTCCGCTTTCTGGTGGAGAGTGAATTCTGTTGTCTAAAGAATCATCTATAAGGTTTGAGCCTTCTTCTTCAGGATCTTCATACAGTGTATTGATGTGCAGAAGAGGGTGCACAGGGTGGCAATTCAGGGCAGGCCCTGACTCTACTACCTTAGTAGTCTGGGGCAGAGAGGCTTTTGTTGCAGCACCAGAAGTTGCTATATGGTTATGTGCACAGGTGAGGAAAACCCCCGATGCAGGCACTGTCCTGCAGATGTCACGGGAATAAAGGGACTCTTTTCCAGGAAGGGAAGAATCTGAAAGAGAAGCAAAACATTTATTTATTTAACTAATCGACATCTTTTTTCCAAATTGGGGGGGGGGGAAATGATTATGTGGGATCTCTTTAATTTTATTTCCACAATAGCAATTCAGCTTTCTAGATTGGATGAGAGCAACGGGTGGGCCCAAAGACACCTAATGAGATTGGAGGATAAGGAAGAACCTTAATGTGGATGTCTTTCTTCCCTCCAAATTTTGTTTCAAAAGAGGCTTATTTTAGAAGAGAGCCACTGTACTATAATAGTGTAAGTTTTGAACGATGAATGACATTTGGGTTTTATTCTATCTTCAGTCATTAGGTGACTTTGGAACGGACATTCTCTCTCAGCCCATCAGTCTTAGGACTGATGCTTGTTTATTTTTATTTATTTATTTATTTTTATTTTATTTTATTGGATTTATATACCGCCCTACTCCCGAAGGCTTGTAATAGGCTTCTAGAATGCATACCATTAAAAAAAAAAAAACTACAGTTATTGTATATTTTTTTTTGCTCAAGACCATACTATACATAGTTTTAAATGTGATTCTGTGCTTGTTATGTACAGTTTTATACAATCCCGATGAGAGAGGGGATTGAAATTAATCACAAAACATCTTAATTTAAAATTGAAATTCCTGACCTGCTACAAAAATATGTAATTTGTCTGCAAATCAGACTCAAACATGAACAACAATTTTTAAAAGGGTCCAAGAAGGAAATCCTGGAAGCTGTAGAATAATTAGTTTAGAACACGGGTCTCCAATTTGGCCACTTTAAGACTTGTGGACTTCAGCTCCCAGAATTCTTTCCTGGCTGAGGAATTCTGGGAGTTGAAGTTCACAAGTCTTAAAGTGACCAAGGTTGGAGACCTCTGGTTTAGAATGTATTCAATGGAAATTGATTTTTTTTTTAAAAAAAAAGGTAACCAAAGGGGGAAAAAAACTAATAATGCCCAATATGGGTGGGTGGGTGAGTGGGAAATGGGGACTCCATGAAGGACAAAAAATTTTCCTCTAAAGCTTGTATTTGAATTGGGAAGAAATTTCTATAAACATCAATGAAGAATCACTTCCATACACATCTACACCTCACAGTCAAACTGTTAAGAAAGATGATGTAGAATTATTAAAAAAAAGTACAGAAAACAAAACTTTAAGAAGGCAGCATATATTACTTGCCAAAGTAGCTTCATTGAGCTAATGAAGTTACTTAACATTCTGTGATTCAACTATAAGGACAAAACTTCAGGGAAGCTTCAAAATTATATTATTTTACAGAGTCAAATTGCTTTAATTATGTACAGTACTCCCTTCAGAAGACGTTTAAGGGAAGTCATGGATTATTCTTAAATTTCATATGAGTATTTAATATAGCGTCGCTATATTTGAGTGTGGGTGTTTATTGAAATCCTACAGAGGAAGGAAATATCGCAAGCAATAATAATTCAAGTTATCAGAAAATTAGATCCATAGAAGCTAGAGGTCAAATTTCTTCTTTGTTCCAGGTTCCTATGATGTTCTTCTCAGTGCACTCAACTCCTCTCCTAGGGATGCTGCTGTAGGGCATGACATGCCAAAACAACTAGACACAGGGACAGTTATTTTCCCCTCGTGCCATCATTCTGCTGAACACCTAATTCTCACAGTACTGTCTTATGTCTAAGTATATTTACCCATGTTGTATGGCTCTAGTATTATTATCCTTCTCATCTTCTCTACTACTCCCTCTTGTTGTTTTCATTATTATGATTATTACTATCCTGTTGCTCTGCATGCACATTGATAGCTTCTGCACTGGAGACAAATTCCTTGTTTATCTAATCACACTTGGCCAAATAAAGCTATTCTATTCTATTCTATTCTATTCTATTCTATTCTACCCTGTTTCCCCCAAAATAAGACTCAACTGGAAAATAAGTCCTAGCATAATTTTTCAGGATGCTCATAATATAAGCCCTACCCCCCAAAATAAGCCCCCGTTAAGATTGTCAGCCAGATGGGTGCATTTAGCACTGTATTCCCCCAAAATAAGACCTAACCAGAAAATAAGCCCTAATGCGTCTTTTGGAGCAAAAATTAATATAAGACCTGGTCTTATTTTTGGGGAAACACTTCTATTCTATTCTATTCTATTCTATTCTATTCTATTCTATTCTATTCTATTCTATTCTATTCTATTCTATTCTATTCTATTCCATTCCATTCCATTCCATTCCATTCCATTCCACTCCATTCCATTCCATTCTACCCTACCCTACCCTACCCTACCCTACCCTACTCCACTCCACTCCACTCCCTCCCCATAGTCCCTATTAATATCTGGCATTTATTGTGATTTTGTTCCAACTCCAAGATGTTTTAAATTGCAAGAAACCCAAGAAGTTTAGATTTCATGAGAAAGATTTTATGAGGAAAAAAATGAAACCAGAACCGAGTCATTGATTACGTGGCACAAGGACACTTTTTTCCTGAATCACACTAATGCTAGAAATATTTACAAAAATTAAAGATTCACAAATGGCTCATACATTCTAAGCTTAAAAATACGATTCTTGATGATAAATTTCAGGTTAGCAAACATCCCATTTATTGTGGGGCTGCCATACTATGTGATCAATATTTCAGTTTGTATGAGTCACATTGTTGAGGGCTCTGGATCTGCCTGATGAATGCTTTCCAGCAGAGGCTACAGCTATCATGCAAGATCTCAACACTATAGAAAAAGGAATCCCAATCAGCCCAACCACATTTCCAACATTTCCAAAATAAGGAGCAATTATGTTAGCTGCAACGGCAATGGAAAAGTAACTAAAAATATCTCCATACCTTTGAGAGAAGAAGTGACGCAAACTATGGCTTTGTTTTCTTGGTTTAAAAATCCACTCTCTTGACTTTTGGATATTGCCACAGAGTTATTGGATGGAATTTCTTGCTTGGGTTTCTTATTACTCAATATATATGGATGAACATCTAAGGAAAAGTGACGCGTATGCTTCTTTTCATTACCTGTGCTGGGTAGAGTACTAGGTTCAGTTTTGTGAACAGGGGATGGTTGGATAGGTTTTGAGTTGGTCTCCAGCAGAGGTGCAATCAGACTATCAGCTGCTGTCTTCCGACGCACCGGCTTTAGCTTCTCAGGTTTGCTGTTCTCAACCTTCATGGTAGCTAGCTGCTCCTTGAATGGCTGAGGAAGTGGATTGGAACTCGGCATCCACTTCATTTTCTTCCGAGGACGCTTGATGATTAGTGGCTCATTAGGGTCAAGATCTGTAGGGTTAATGCTGGGGTCTATTGTTTGTATTCCAGAATCACGTACAGTTGGGGTAACATCATGATTAGACTGGGCTAGAGCTGCAAGCAACTGACGCACGACATTGTCATACATCAGATCGCTTTCGTTGGTAATGAAATCCAAGCGGTTTAGAGACTTGATGTGATCACGATTTTCATTGCAAAACATGGCCAGGATATTAATATCACAGAACTGAGATTTCTGCCACTGTTTCTTGGTCTTTATGCCAACCTTGTTCAGCTTGTCAAATATGAAATTGGACTTGCGGAAAATGAAAAGGTGGATTAAATTGATGAGGATGATCAAGTTCATGAAACAAAGGAGGACAATGTCCACTCCAGCAATTATGCGTTGCAGCTGAACGGAGGGCAGTTTGCAATTCACCCGTATGAGCAATTTGGAATTGCTGGTTTTGTCAGGAGGTTCTCCTAGAGCACACGTAAATTCATTTTGTTTCTGTGTAGCATAATAGGTGGACAAGTATGTGATGGGGATGATGCTTAAAAATATGATGAAGAGGTGCCTGGCCAAGTAAAGTTTGGCTAGGAAATTGCTACGCCCTCTGCGTTCCAGATATTTCTCAAACAGGTTTTGCTCAGGGCTTTTTTCCTTCTCAGCATTCTCAATGATTTCTCTTCTTTCGCGTTCGGTTATCCCTGGGCCTTTTGACTGGATTTGTTTTTCGATTTTTGGCGCCCGGCCTTCAGCTGCTCGGTGATAGCAGTTATCTATCTCCTGGAGCAAAAAGTTAAGTTCAGAAGTCAGTCTGGTGGAAGCCAGGAATTCCCACCCAAGGGCTGGAATGTACATAATGCCGGCAAAAGCCAGCAAAGCATATGGAAGAAATTTATGCTCAAACAAGGAAGGCCAGTGGCTGGCATTTACACCTGGCAATGCATCTCTTAGCTCTGTCCAACAGTATCCTCTGGCATACAAGGCTTGATCCCGGGTGAAGTTGTGTGGTGTGTAACAGTATATGGGCTCCTCTGTATAACAGAGAGAAAAGTCACTGCTGTGCATTTAACGTACAAAAGGAGCTCTGCAAAATAAATATGTTTATAAGCTACTGTATATCAGTTTTCGTTTACAGTATATTCAGCATGACATTAAACTACCCTGTAAGAGTTAAAAACTGCCCCCCCCCAAGGCATTAGGTCAATGCAGAAAAATCTATACAGTCAACATACAGCGGCACTTGAAGTAGGAATGACAAATTACATTTGGAAAAATGGTTTGGGAGGTATTTTTTTATACTAATCAATCAAATTTGTACAGCAAAATCAACAGGATAGTGCCACAATGTAATAACTGGGGGCTCATCCTATAAAACAAGTTTTTTGCATAAGGCCCTCAAGTTCATCTCTTCATACTGAACATTGAAAAGAACAGCTCTCCTTTTAAAAACTCTGTTTTGTCATTTCTTTTTAAGAGACGGGAAGCAATCTAAAAATGAATTGATGGAGGGTTTTTTTTTTTCCTCACACTACTGAAACTTGGAAAGGATTAGCTGTGAATGTGTTATATTTTCTGCTGAGCTCTTGAGAAACTTCGGCTTTATAACAGTATATTTAAAAAGTGCAAAAATTGCAGTTGCGTAGGTTCAACATACGTCAGGGTTTGTTTGTTTGTTTTACTGCAAGGAGATAGTTATAGAACAAAATGGATGTTTTAAACTCTGAACCCCCCACCTCATAAACGATAGTGACCAGAATTCTCTTGAAATTGCAAGCTTTGATTCAATTTCTGGTAAATCGGGGCAAAGAAATGAAGCAGGCCCTCTCAACAGAAAATCCTGTAACTATGATTATCAGTAGGAGTCCCTAGATTTCCTAGGTCCCTTCTCTTTAATGTTGTCATCTAGTGCAGGGGTCTCCAACCTTGGAAACTTTAAGACTTGTGGACTTCAACTTTGGGAGTCCACAAGTCTTAAAGTTGCCAAGGTTGGAGACCCCTGATCTAGTGGGACATAGGACAAATGTCTTCTCCGTAGTGACACCTGCCTTATGGAACCACCTCTTCTCTGAGATATACACTCTCAGCTTTCCAGAAAGTTGTGAAGACCTGGCATTGGATCAGGATGGGGATTGCCCCAGAAAATGCAGAATTAGTAGCAATAGCACTTAGACTTATATACAGCTTCATAGTGCTTTACAGCCCTCTCTAAATGGTTTACCATTTTGCCCTCAACAATCTGGGTCCTCATTTTATCAACCTCAGAAGCATGGAAGGCTGAGTCAACCTTGAGCTGCTCAGAATTGAACTCCTGGAGTGAGAAGTGAGTTAGCCTGCACTACTGCATTCTAATCACTGCGCCACCCCAGCTCAGTGATGATTTTAGGGTGCCATGATGGAAAGTCTGATTTTTAAAAATATTTTTTAACTTTGTAATGTTTTTATTTCTTATTGTTGTGGGCCACCCAGGCTGTTGTGTTTAATATAGGTGGCGATATATTTTAAATAAACAAATGTTTAATTTTCTAAAGCACCTCTCAATATAGGACCATTTCTGTAATAGGGATTCATATCCAAATATATGAATAACAAATGTTACCATCTTAAACAGAGAGGGAATATTCAATTCCCATTTCATAGATATACTCAAAATAATTGAATACACATTGTTTCTTCAATGTTTATTAATAATTGCAACTAGGGGTGGGTATTTTGAGACAGAAGCTCCCTGCTTTGAGTTTGAGAACATTATTTCCTATTCAGTATGGGCTGTTTTTATCATTTTGGAAGTGTTTTAAGATCAAAACTGAACTGTTGTAAGATTAAAATGGTCTCCAAACGATTGGAGCAGCTAACAAAACAGGGCATTTTAAATTCAAAAGTAATTGAATTCAGAATGTTTTATAGACCATTAAACTGCTTCCATTCAATAGGGAAAGATGAAATATTGTGGACTTCAAAGGTACAATTGAAAATATCTCCTCATAATCAATGCCCCATATTATAATGAAAGGAATATTGTAGGATTTAATCAAAACCCTGTCATAATAAAGGCAGTTTTGAGACCCTGCAAAATTACTGCTTAGCATGAAAATAATAAAAATGGAATCAGGAGACTGAAATTTAATTTGCTCCAAAAGTCTATACGATATGCTACTAAATGAATGTTTTGCATCTGAATGTTGCCAGTTACAATTTTGCAAATATTTTCTTTTGTATGTAGTGGCATAATTTGGAGGCCAGATATCTATTTGGTTGAGTCTGTTTTGAAGAATAATCCTTAACTGACTAAATTTTGAGTGTCATGAAAAGAAACTTCAAATAATAACACTATCACTAGTAATCTTTGGAAATGTACAGTGAGACTGCTCATTGTCTATATATGGTATCGATCACACATCCATGAAATGGCATCTTATGAAAATCAATAAAATGACATCTTATAAAACGATACTTTCATTTTATAAAAATACAATCAAAAGCATTATAAATACATTCTATGATTTCCAGAAAGTCTACCACAAAATACTTTTTGGGGTTGAGTGTGTTAATGGACACACATATTCATTGCTCCCTGAAAATCCTACATAATCTAAGTAATAGATTTAAGGATCATCTTCAAGATTATCATTCAGCACTAAGTCATAGCAATCCTTTGCAAAACATATTGTAGGTAAATGAATGCAACCTATAGAAACAGATCTTGTACCTTACAGTAATTCACTTGTATTCAAAATCAAAATGGGTCAAAGTCAGGTCTAATATAGCACAGAGTAAATTAATTTAATGCCACAGCGATATGGTAGGCATTACTAAATTGCCTCATTAAGTTTTATGGTTCTACGCTTAAGCTTGATTAAAATGGAGAGTAGATTATTATTCACCAGTTGCCAACACTTTAAAACTTTTGTCAAAATGATGAAAATGGCATATTTTGATGATGATGCAAGTTTGCCCTTTTTGATACAGGTTGCCATGATAAGGGCAAGGGACTTCCACTGCAATGGCACAATGCTGCCGTTTATCCCTCTCCTGCAGGTATCTTTAATCTACGTAGTGTTACTCTTCATCTTTTTAAACAGCATTATTTACTAATAGAATTAAAAAATTAAACAAGAAAAGCAAAACTCGAGAGACTGAAACAGCAATAAGCCCAATAAAATAAAAACATCTGGCACATCTGATAAGTGCCATATGAGTAAATTCTAACTATAAAGCAAATCTCCTCTTTAGAATTTCTGTTAAATAGTGAAATGCAGGCTAATTTTTCAAAAGACCAATGAAAGTTTTGGCTTTCAACCATTCATTGTTATTGGTATGGAACACTTACCTGGGTTCTAAAGGGTATTTTAATTTAAACAGCAAATTTCAATTACAAATGTTAATGACTGGTGGTGGTGGAGAACTTCTGCCAAAAAAACCAACCTCCATGCCTGACCCTTGCACAAAAATAAAATATATTCTTCTCTGCTCCAATAAAATTTACTTGGGCAAAATGTGACATCAATACATCACATTTTGTTGGTGCAATTTTGTATATAAAATGAGACCACAGGTTACGGGTGTCAATGTGTCCCTGCTTTGTGAATACAGCAAGGACATTGTGCGGGTAAGTATCCATACAATATTTAAAGTACGAAGTTAGGAATTCAAAACTTATACAGGTTCCGTGTACAACAATCACAGTGATTCAAATCCATTTTCAACTGTTACTATTTCCGCTAAGCTTTGGCACCAACCTCTAGTTCTCTGGATTGAGTACTAAATTTATCTGTAAATAAAGTTGTAAAGCAACTGAAACAACAGTTCATTTAATTATTGGTTGGCCCTACTCGGACTTCTCTCCTCCTGTTGTTGTTTTCTGAGATTGTAAACTCTTCACTCTTTGCACACAGATACCATAAAATACCACATTGATCTTAATAATTCCCAAATATTAATGGAACATGACCTATCAAAGTCGCAAGGCAGAAAATTGTGAACCGTCTGGATTTTTATTCATGCATGAACAAACTCTATACACAATCTTACTAACCTAAATTGCATTTGATGCAAATAAAACCATGAATAGGTAAATAAAGAATATATAGCATGCTAAGCAACGCCAAGATATTTTACTGTTGATTTTTATTATTCAGAATAGTCCCATTCCTTATTTTTAATTCATTGATCCAATATATTTTCTCTCCCCCCCCACTTTTTGGTAAAACCATGCTCTCTATTCTCACTGTTTATACTTCTGTGCATTTGTACATCCAGGGATGTCTGCAGGAAGAGTCAAAGAAGTCAAGATGGTGGTTGGGTCACAAAGGGATGGGAATTTGACCATATAATCACAGTCACCATGGTTTGTTTGTTTTTTTGACACCCTCCTCCAAAAGAGATGCCCCTGCCCCCTGTACTGATCCCACTCTAGTTGTCTTAGAATTCTTAGAAGGGTTACTAAATTCTCTTGGATAGGTACTGTTGTTTGTGAGTTATTGTTACAGTTTTATTTTCCTTTTCCCTTTCTCTCTCTCTGTGTAGCTTTTAAGTAACATTACATTAATTTACATATGAATGTTGTCTTTTCTTTCTTCCTTCTGATTATCTTCCTTAATACATTTAATGTGGAAATGATAGCTGGCTTTTGATTGTAAATAAATGTTATATTTAATATGATTACACCTTTGGGATAAAGCTTACAAGCACACCAGGAAAAGTAAGAATCAATTGTGATATATTTACAAGCAATTAAGTTGGGGATAGGTTTTTTTTTTATCATTAAGGAAAAAACTGGATTGATCTCATGTTGCCTGAAACAGGATCTACTCCAATATAGTCAAAGAGTTTTACAATTTTTATGGCTTATGTTGCAGCAGCTGGCAGCACTGAGGCTGCCTTGGCCAATTCTTTAAAAAAAAGAAGAAACTAAACTGGGTTTCTCCTGATTAGTATTTGGATGAGAATCAAGGAAATTCCCTGATTGAACAAAATCTTGGAATGAAATAACAACATATTTCTGTATTGTTGAAAATAAAACTACACTAGCATAGCCATGAAGTCTCACTGAGAGATGAAATTGATTTTTAAAAAAGAAATAGGATTTATATGGAAAAATCCAGAGTAAACATGTATTTACTGAGTTTAAACATATACTCTAGCAATAATACTGAACTTGGCCATGATTTGATCTTTGCAGTAGAAGACATGAGCATGAACATAAAGGTTTTGCATGCAAATAAGAGATCTCATGTATGGTCCCATTGCTCCCTGCAATAATGCTCTGTTGTTTATCATCCATCTTTAGTAGTCATGCAGAAATGCTCCTGTTAGATGATGACTGTAATACACCACATGGTTACTGCAATCACAAGTCTCCCAGAAATCTTAGCCAAATGCAGTTCACAAAAATAAGAATGCAACCCAGCACATGAATTATTATCTTTTATTTAATGAATAGTAGCTATTCCTTTGTTACTGAAAATATTTTTAAATTCCCAGATCCTCTTCTTTCTGAAAAATAAATTAAAAGTTGGTTAATACAGTTTAAATAATGTTTGCATTGGTTTGCTACAAAACTTATCTCTGAAAAAAAAAAAATGAACTCATGATTTACATATCAAAGAGCAGATTCTCTTACATGGTTGTTATTAAATAAGTAGATAAAGTGAAGGACTTTAATGATCATACCTTGATGGTATAAACATAATTAACAGTGGTTAATTTGGGGGGGGGGATAAACAATGATGTGGTTAGTCCTTTGGACTTGAGAATCACTCTCTGGATTCAACCATGAAACTGTCTGAGTGAATATTGGTGCTTTTGAGTTGTTTGATATCTTCCCAGTTAGAACCAGAGAGTTTAAGCACTAGAAGGGATGTTGGATATTATGTAGTCCAACTCCCCACTTACTGCAAGAATCCATATTACAGCATTCCTAACTGATGGACATATAGCTTTTGTCAGGGGTTCTCTGCCCGGTTACTGGGTGGGCATGGCCATGGTGGGCATGGCCTACACGGCCTCCTGCACCACGGGGGGGGGGGATTTTTTCCCTCCCTGGGCTCCAGAGGCTTTCCTTGAGCCACTGGGAGGGTGAAAACAGCGTCCCCAGGCTCTGGAGGCCCTCTGGAGACTGGAAATGGGCCTGTTTCCGGTCTTCCCAAACTTCCAGTAGGCCCATTTTTAGTTCTCCCCAAGCCTCCGTGTGCACCCTGCACTTACCTGCATCCAAAACGGGCCGTGTGGGGACTCCTGGGAGGGGAGGGTGGGGCCATCCAGGATTAGGATTTGGGGGTTCTTCAAACTGCACAGAATCTTAGCTAGAAGTTCTCCCAAACCCCTGCGAACCCCCAGTAGCCCACCCCTGGCTTTTATTTAAACATCTTTAGGAAAGAAGAGTCTATTACCTCTCAAAGACATCCATTCTGTTTTAGAAGAGATATTAGGATTTTTTTCCCCTGGAGGTTTAACTGAAAGTCAACTATGATAGAATATCTAACAGACCTTAGGAAAACCCAGGAAGAAGACTGTTATAGAGACCCTCAGCCCAGGGCAAGGAAGAAGTATGAGAAAGATTCAGACCAACTCTATCTTAATTATGCCAGATCAAAGTTAAGCAGAAAACTGCATTCATGGGCTTTCCAGATTCTGTTGGAGCACCCTAAAAGCAATAAAAATATTTTGAGAAATCTAGGATATTCTTGTTTCCTAAATTGGCCAGCCTCACACAGCTTGACATCAGATTCGCTGTATTTTAAATACATTGTTTCTTGTCCTGTTTCTAGAATAATTCTGAACAATTATGTCCTGTCTTCTACCTACAGTTATTTGAAGACAATTGTATCTCTTTACAGTCTTTTCTCCTGCAGGTTAATCATACCCAGTGCCTCCAATTGTTCCTCTTAGGTTTTTCTGCAAGGACCAAAAATAATCATGTACGCTTTTCTTTGGACATGCTTCAATTAATTGATGTTCTTTCTAAAGCAGGGCTTTCCAACCTTGGCAACTTTAAGACTTGTGGACTTTAACTCCCAGAGTTCCTCAGCCAGCAAAAGACCCCTATTCTAAAGTACCATGCTCAGAATTGGATGCACCACTCAATACACTAAGGAGACAATTAAACAGAAAGGAACTATGACTTTTCATAATCTTATTGAACTATGATCTTTTCTTGTTATCCTAGGATTCTTGTAGAATCTACCACCAACTTTTTCCTAAGCTTCTAAGAAGTCAATAGCTTGTTTTTCCATGCCACTTGAAGAAAAGAAGAAAAATACTTTTGTCTATGGTCAAAATGGAACTAACCCTTAGCAAGCTATTAAGAAAGTCTACTTTTTACCAAGTGAGATGGGTTCTACTCACTCAATCCTCATCCTTGTCCCTTATAGTAGCAAGGCAAGTTATTAAATGCCACTGACACGCCTGTATTGCTTGTTTATCCTATGTCCCCAGCTAAAATATTCTGAATCATCCTTTGTCTACTGATTTAAATATGAATTATGATTAACCACTCTCATGTCTGTAGTATTGATTCTTCTCTTCTTCCAGGCTTTCCCTAGAAATTGGCCAAATTCACACATTATTAAAAACTAGAGTTGCTTGTTAATTGTGAAGAAGCAATGTCCTAGAACATGCAGCCTACCTACGCTGCTTCTCCATCTGCAGAAACAGGTACTAGTAATTCAGACATCATAATCTAGTATGACACCTACCTTTGAAATCCTAGTTGGTTACTTTCCAAATAATAGAGGAGTATAAATTAGAACTTACTGGGTTGAGCATGCTTATGATTTTGGCAAGTTTAGAAAAAAAAATTACACAGACTTCTGGATTTGGCAATTACAAATTATCACTTCCTAGTTGGTTTTATCCACTGTATGAAATGAGAATAAATGCCTATGTATGTAAACAGGCAGCCCATTCATTGGTAAATAATGTGCAAAGTCTGTCAATATCTGGTTCAATTCCAGTACTGTCTATGGTTCGGAACTGGCAGTACTCCATACTCCATACTTCCTTATGCGAGTTATGAGATGCTCTTACTGTTGGGGAGCAGGAGGTGGAGATATTTTTTCCTGACTGGGGCCTATGCCTGTGAAAAAATCCTGCCATTGAAATCAGTGAAATTTGTAATAGGGAGGAATCAACCCCATCTGACATTTTTAATTTAAATCGCTTGTTTTCCCCTTTCAAGTTACCCTACCCACCAAGATTGTAAATGTTGGTTTTGCCTAAGCTTCAGATAGGATAATGGAAGCCATACAACAGAATTTTTGCAATATACTTAGCCTTAACTAGGATTCCTACTGCTGTTAAAGGAAACCAAAGAAACAAGAATCCACAGATCTTCTAAAGATTTGGAATCTGGCATGCAAATTTCCTAATTCCATGCATGGAATGTCTACGGAGAGGATCTGGTCTGTTCGCTCAGTCTGCTTTCTCTATCCTCTTGCCTCTTCACTGGTTAAACAAATCCACAAATGCTGAAAACTATTCCATTTTTCAATTCACACATGTAGTACTTATTAATGAATAAAAGATTTGTTTCCTTTCAGGTCCGCTTCAGTTTTGTGATTCCATTAGCAATTCTATGTACTTTATTGACTGCAATATACATGTATATGTATATCAGGGGTGAAATCCAGCAGGTTCTGGAGAACCAGTAGCGGAAATTTTGAGCAGTTCGGAGAACCGGCAAATAAAACCTCTGGCTGGCCCCAGAGTGGGGTGGGAATGGAGATTTTGCAATATCCTTCCCCCAGGAGTGGGGAGGGAATGGGGATATTGCAGTATCCTTCCCCTGGAGTCACGCCCACCAAGCCACGCCCACCAAGCCACACCATGCCCACCAATTCATGCCCATAGAACCGGTAGTAAAAAATTTGGATTTCACCACTGATGTATATTTATGTATATATGGATGTATGTGGAATCACAAAAGTAGACAGGAAGTGGACAAAGACCCAATCTCATGTATTTTTCTTTCCATATGTTAGTGGAAAGGTAGTCTAAAATGGGTACTCCATAACAAAATTAAGCAAAAGAGACATTAGAGAATCCTGTTGAGCTAGAATTCTGGAGCTAAGATTTCTATTAGCTAATATTGTGGCTACTCTGAGACAATGCCTCCAAACACCAGAAAAACAGGTAATTTCTATTTGGAATTCAACAACCTAAAAGAGCAGCAGATGGAATAACACTTTGGAAATGTGTTTAACATAGTATCTGGGATAGCCACTGACAGGTGGGGATTAGTCATTCTTCTTTGGCTAGAGCCAAGGGGAGGGAAAGAAGTGAGATCTGTAGAGCACAAAGACAGATTGTTCTTACACCAGAAAAAGGGACAGAAAGTAAGCCCTGCAAAAATCCAATAGAATTAAGACACAGTCAAAACTATTGCCTCCATAGAACCTCCCCTCCATACCCAATACCACTTTTGCAGCCCATAGAGACCCCCATATTGTATGAGGCTGAATATTTCAGACCTTTTTTTTTTAGCTTGGGAGATTTGAAGGCTTTTGAAAAGATAAAATAAATTCTACAAGATTAGCAAGACCCTAGACACCCAGAGTACCTGTAAAATCCAAATGTCACCAAATTGGGCTAATTTTTTTTCTTTCCTTCTTTAGGAGGTTCAAAAAACAGTATACCTCACAAATTCTTCTACTGCTGAACAGACTCTACAGTTTAACTGCTTTTATACACTGAGATTAGCATTTGATCTCACTTGGTTCAATTTACAGAGAGTTATATTCTCTTCTTAAGAGACAGGGCAGAATCCTGACCTCCTCTGCATTATCTCTTTCCAAATTAATCAGGTTGGAAAGAAGATCAAGATGGGAATGTATGAGGAACATGGCATTTAGAATTATTTCTAACTCCATTACTTGCAACAGCCCTAGCAGCTTCTCTGTTTTCTTCTGCACAATGAATATATTTCCTCAAAATTTCCTAGAAGGACTTAATTTGTAGTTTTTTTGTAGTTATGGCATTTTGTTGAATTTAGACATAATTTGTGATCAAATAAAATTCCAAAACATTCTTCTCATATACTATCATCATGTCAGGAATATTGCACATTTGATTTCTCTTCCCTAACATATACATTTTTCATTAGCTACCTATCAGCCCATCAAAATAATCTTCAATCTTGTTTTTAGGAACTTTCACTCATTTTGTATTCCTCTTTTAATTAGCTTCATTCAATTGTATTTATTATTGGTGTGAGAAATAATTGTGAGTTACTGAAACCTGCTTTTTTGAAGTTCCAGGTATATATTTGGCTACCTTCAACTTTCCCTCACCTTTTATTTTGCTGGGCAGTCTACAGTAGACACCACCAACAGTACTGCTTTTATTCATTTTTTAATTTTATTTTAATCCAGGAGCACCAAGTTTATATTGAACTTTTGTACACATGTAGCTTTTTAAACATAAGACAATTCTTTCTTTGTATTGGTTTTGTTCCTTTAGACAAGTGATATCCTATTATTTTATTCCAACCATGAAGA